TACGATTTCATCATCTTCAGTATCATCGAATGACAGCTTTCTAGTTGGCACCTGTTTTCTTTTAGTAGGTACTTTATTAGCCTCGGAATGTAGATCTGTAAAATACCAAATTCGGTTTAATATACTTTATTATTTTGTCACATTCTATTTTTTACCTTCTTCTAAAACATCTTATTAAATAAAGAACAATTTAAAAATGCACCACGTTCACGAGGTCACGGCTGTCACAAGAATCATGAAGATGGAGGAAACAGGAAACAACAATGACAATTGACATATGACATTTTCAGAAATATACGAAAAAATAACGTAATTATGACGAATTCTAAGTGACATCTATTCTATGTCATCAATGCGACGTCAAATACACGTTACTGATTAGGATATTGTATTTCGGAAAAATTAATACTAAAAAATTACGTCATAATGACGAGTCTGTCTTGACGTCTAATTAACGTTACAAAATCGACGTTAAAGTAACGTCATTAATTGGGATAGTGACGGTTCTGACGAGTAAACTCAAAAAATCACGTTATAATGACGGCACCTTGCTGCTTGGGTCTTCTTTCTTTATTTATTTCAAGTTAAAAAGAAGACATCTTTCTGCAAAAAATTATCACATCATTACAACAGCAGATAGCAACAAAATCAAGAAAAATTTGTAAGTGAAACTAAGTATTTTCTTCACGTTTCTTTCACAGATAAGTCAGAAAACAAGTAAATTATTATATTGTGTGTGTGATTAAGTTTAGGTTTCCCTTGGCTACGGATACTAAGTCCATTCGCCAGCTTAACAATTTGCTCAAGGATGAACATCCTTATATAAATTTTTTAAACATTATTATTACATTTTTTAAAATTATATCTTATATCTACTATATACATCGTTTATATTTACTTTTAATTACAAATTTTTTTTTTTTATTTATTTTTTTTTTTTTTTGTTTTTTTGTTTTTTTTTTTGTTTTTTTTTTTTTTTGACAGGGACACTTTTTGCGCTCAGGGGTCGATCAGAGCGACTACAACAAACAAGAGGACCACGGATTGTTTGGGATGCACAATAGGGATGGATATTATGGACATACATATATGGATATATTTTTATAATGCGTCAATACTTATCTGTTTAAATCTTAAGTCCTATTTTACATATATGCGAGTTTAATTTTTTGTATAATTCAAAATTATTTGAACAAATTAATTGTGTTAGATTATACGGAACCACTATTTCATTGTTCTTATTATAAATAAAGTTATTTAGTTCATTAACATAATTTTGAATTAATAAACATCCTAAAATTTTATGTTCTGCATTTCCTTCCTCTCCGCAATCACACAAGGGCGAATCCTGAAGATTAATTTTAAATAAATGTGACTCAACTAATGTATGATTGAATCTTAGTCTACAAATTTTCGATATCACTACCTTATCTAATTCTGATTTTTGGAACCAGGGTTTACTGGGAATATCCGGTTGAATACTTTTATAAAACTGACCTTTCGTTGAGTTTTGGTAATCCTCCTTCCAATTGCTTATGGTCATAGACTTTGCCCACGCGTTCATATCTTCTTTTAAACATTTATAGTTTGTCTTCTTTCCTTCTTCTATGGCGTTTTTTGCTAGCTCATCTGCTTTTTCATTACCAACTATACCACAATGAGCTTTAACCCACACAAATTTTACATGTTTCTGAGATAATTCCAGATTATATACCGTTCTTATTATATCCTCAATGATGTTATTAATTTTTGATTTGTCTGTTACATTTTTGATTTTTTCCAAGGCACTTCTACAATCGGAGATAATTACAAATTGGTTATTGTCCAATTCTTGGATATAGTGTAAGGCTTCCAATATGGCTATTAGTTCCGCTGAGTATGTAGAAAATTTGTCGTTCAATCGGCTTTGTCTTCTTGCGTTGTTGAGCGGATCCCAACAAGCGATACCCACTTGCGATTTTATTTTTGAAGCATCGGTATACAACTGATGATGATATGGAAAAAGTGTTTGCATATCATCTCTAAACATCAAGTTTCTTATCTTGTGTGGATATTCCGAGTAGTTTCTTAAATATTTTACATTTAGATCCTTATCTACCTCTAAGTGATTTCTTGTTTTTATTTCTATTTCATTGGTAACAAGTAGGTATTGTGCATAAACTTCTAATATTGTTAAAGTTGATTTTTTTTGCCAATATTTTGTTGTTAGATCTAAAATATATAATTCATGAATCTTATTTAATAATTTACTTTGTTTCTCGTGCAATTTAAAGATGAATTTGTATGTTAAATATTTTCTTCTATTGGTTAGTGCCATTTCTACAGCTTCTACATATAAATTAGTAATTGGTGTAGTTTTCATTGCTCCTAGTGATAGTCGAATACACTTGTTTGATACTATTTCCAGTTTTTTTAAATGTGTTTGTGCTGCTTGAGAATAAAATATAGATCCGTAGTCTAAGATTGATCTGATGAAGGATCTATAAAAAAGAAGGGATGTACTCGGATCTGCTCCCCAGCTCATATGGCTTACTGCTCTTAAGACATTTACTCCTTTCTCTGCTCTATTTATTAAGTATTCTATGTGATTTTTCCACAACAGTTTTCTATCCAGTATGATTCCCAGATATTTGATTTTTGACTGTACTTCAAAATCTTCTTCATTAATTTTTAATTTAGATGGTAAATTTCTTTTTTTGGAAAAAATGCAAAGCTGAGTTTTCTTTGTAGATATATTCATACCCTTAGAATTACACCATTTCTGCAGAGAAGTGTAACTGTCTGATAATTCTGTTGGTTGAATTGTAGTATTTGAAATATTTTCTTGATATATGCATACGTCATCAGCAAATTCTAGCACTTTAATATTATTATTGTTTATTGCTATCTTATGCAAATCTGATGTGTAAATTATATAAAGCAAGGGACTTAGTATTCCCCCTGTGGCAGCCCAACATTAGCTAACCTAGGCTCTAACAAATCATTTTGTATCCTTATGAAGATGTTTCTATTTGAGTATAATGTGCAAATTCTCGATGTGAATTCTGATGGTAGCCCTATATATTCCATTTGATCATGCAAAATGTCTAATTTGATATTATCGTAAGCCCCTTCAATATCCACAAATATAGCTGTTAGAGATTTTTCTTTTGAGAAAGAAATGTTTATGTCTGCAACCAATTGTCCTATGTTTTCATTTATGGAGTAACCTTTTCTAAAACCAAATTGTGTCTCTGGAAATTGTTTATTTTCTTCCATCCATTCTTCTAATCTTGTTTTAATAATTCTTTCAAACGTTTTTAATACGCATGATGCTAAAGATATCGCCCTGTATGATTCCGGAAATTCGGGAGGTTTCTTAGATTTAAGAATGGGAATAACAATATAGTCTTTCCAACTAGGAGGGAACTTTCCACTTTTCCAAATATTATTAAATATTTTTAGTAAACATTGTTTTGCATTTTCCGGTAAGTTAAATAACATTATGTAATGCACGTTATCGAGACCTGGAGCCGAATTTATATTATATTTAAGGCAATTTTTCAATTCCCTTGGAGAGAATGGTTTTAGTAGTGGATGATTTACTTCAACTATTTCATCTGGAATAATGGACATAGAATTTACTTGGACCCATGGGGGAGTTAATTTGGTTTGAAATATTGTGGCCCAATCAGTTTTTATTACCTTGTTTGTAGGTTCAGAATTATAATAAACATTTTTAATTTTTTTAACTTCTCTCCAAATCTCCTTAACTGGTGTATTTTTATTTAATTTGTTGCAAAACAATTTCCACGATTCTTTCTTGAACTTTTTAATTATTCTTTTAGTATTAGCTGCTGTTTTTTTGTAGTTAATATAATTTTGTGCATTAGAACTATTTTTAAAATCCAAGAAAGCTTCGTTTTGAGTTTTAATAACTTCATCACATTCATTATTCCACCACGTCTTGTTAAAATTTGAATTGGTCACTTTTTTCTTTTTAGGAATTGCATTTTGGTTTGATTTATTTATCATATTCAAAAGTGATTCATACTCTACTTGGAATTCATTATCCTTTAATTCTGTTTCTATTAAATGTGAAAAAAGTGTCCAATCCGCTTTCTTAATATTAAACTTATGACAATTTTTATATTGCGTTTTACCATTTACATTTAGTGTTATGATCAGGGGGTAATGATCTGAGGTGCCTAAAGGGTATTTAATTCTTTCCCAATTACAAGACGTAGTTAGATCCGTTGAGCAAATTGTTAAGTCTACGGCCGATTTATTTTGTTCGTGAGGATGTAATATACGTGTCTCTGAACCGTCATTTAAAAAATTTAAATTATTTTCATTAATTGCTTCTAAAAGTTCTCTACCCGCAGCATCTGTTATATCGCATCCCCAAGCTCCATTGTGACAATTAAAATCTCCCCCAAGTACAAATGGTTTTTTCAGATTTTGAAAAAATTGTATCCATGTCCTACTAGAAACCTTATTTTTTGGTTTATTGTATAAAGAATAAAAGTTTATTGCATTATTGTTTGTAAAATGTATTTCGGCTCCTATGCACATAACACCGTCTATCGGTTTTGAAATTGTTATCTCTTTAAAACAAAAATGTTTCTTTATTAAAATAGCGACTCCCGAGTAGCCATCCTCTCTATCTCTCCTTATAATATTAAAACCTGTGAAATTTACAACTGAACTTGGTTTAAACCAAGTTTCATTAAGCAAAGCTATCTGAACATTTTTATCAAATATAAATTTTTCTAGAACTCCCTTATTTGAAATTACAGATCTTCCGTTCCACTGAACCAACTTAGACATTTTAAATTTCAGTTACGTATTTTAATAGATCATTCCTAAGATTATCACAAATTAAATTTTTATTTTTATTTTCAGAATTATTTTCTAAAACACTATTAATTATATTTAATATTTCATTAACAAAACTAATTTTATGATTTTCATTTTTCAACATATTATGATAAGAGGGTACATTTCTAAAAGACTCGTACACCGTCTGAGAAGCTACGCTTGGAATTTCCAAAATATCCCTATGTTCTTGTGATATTACGCTTTTTGTAGAAACATATTCGTTTGGTTTTGATTTTTTTGTTACCGTGTATCGAGATCCCGCCGACTTGTTTTTTATTGCCGTTGCGTAACTGTTTTTATGTTTTTGTTTCGCCTCATTGTATGATATATTTTCAATAACCATTTTTTCTTTAATAGATTTTTGATTATTGTATTCCTGACATTTAGTTCGCTCCGTAGCGTTGTGTTCGCCCCCACACATTATACAATTTGGATTATTTCGTAATTCGCAAGCTTCTTGATCATGATTATCCCCACAATATTTACACCTGACCTTACCCTTACATTGCATAGCTACATGGCCATAGCGTAAGCAATTCAAACATTGAGTAACCTTGGGGATGTACATTTCTACTTCGTATCTAAGCCTCTCTATAATGACTTTTTTTGGTATCATTTGCCCTCTGAAAGTAACAATAATAGTACCTGTAGGTATTAATTGCTTGTGTTCATCTCTTCGAAACATCCTTTTGACATACTCTATTTTAATATTTTGTCCGTATTCTGGTTTGATTATATTTTTTAATTCTTCCTCAGTTATATCTATATCGACCTGCTTAATAACGCCCTTTTTTTGGACAAAAAAGTTAGGAATATATACATCGTAATTTTTTGTTTTTAATATTTCTGAATCTATAATTTTATTAGCACTATAAAAATTATTTAATTCTACTTTTATTTTATTTATTCCTATAAATGAAATATTTATTATATTATCTTTTATCTCCGGCACTGCATTTAAAATTAATCTAGCTGTTCCAATTTTGTGTAACCTGCCTATATTTCCTTCTTTATTTTGTATAAATACATAATAAGGTCCCTGATCTCCATTACTATATTTATTACTAACTCTTTCAATTATTGTGTTTACCATATTCCCATTATTTATATTGTTTTCACTTACGTTTTTATCTTCGTTATCTATTTTGTGTTTTTTTGCTACCTGATTATCATCGGTACTATCATCTAAATCCGTTTCCATTCTATTTTCGTCATTTTGATTTGATACAATAGTTTCATATATTATATTATTTTTTCCCCTATCAGGTGGAATTTTTATATTTGACGACATATCCTAAAATCACTCACTCACTTGCTCGATACGTTAAAACACACCTATTCACCGTGAAATTTGTAGTCGAACTGATTATTATATTGTGAAACATTTGTTAAAAACATTATTTAAAAGACTGATTTATAGATTTTATTATTTTAGTAACTTAGTTAGACAGCCAAGCGGCACTTAAGGCCATATCGAGTCAGAAAGTTACGTCGAGGCTGGTATGGGAATGCATCGAAGAACTAAGAACACTGGCAGACCGTAATAAAGTAAAACTATTTTGGGTGCCAGGTCACAAAGGGATCGAAGGCAACGAAAAGGCTGAAGAACTTGCAAAAAGAGGGTCAGAAGAAACACCGGAACCAGACACAAACCCAGGAGTACCAAAAAGTACAGTCCGGGGTTTTATAAATGACTGGATTCGGGAACAACATATCAACTATTGGGGAAGCGCCTCAAAACAGGCACATGGAAAAGCCTTCATAGATAGACCATGTCCCAAAAGAACTGGAGAACTACTCTTAATGAATAGGAACCAGTTGAAAGTGATAACAGGGTTCATGACTTGGCACGCCCCAGTAAAGGGTCACTTGAACAAAATTGGCATGTACAATGGGGAACTCATGTGCCGACTATGTCACAAGAAACCAGAAACGGCCAAACACATACTGTGCGAATGCGAAGCTCTAGATCGCAAAAGACAGGCTCTTTTTGGACAACCCCAGGTTGATCCAACAACGTATAGAACCCACTCACCCAAGGATCTGTACAAAATTGTACAAGGTACAAAGGTGATAGAGTGGGTGCTAACTAACATGGGGTAAAACACAATAAGCCAATAGGCTTCAGTGTTATTCGGAGACACATAGTCAGACGAGCCCAGGAGAAAAAAAAAAAAAAAAAACTTAGTTAATATTCTTGGGACAATGAATTATTTTAGAAAATATATACTCATTATATAAATATATTGCTTTAACGTAACTTTTTTAATCAAACACTTTTTTAAATAATAATACTCTCCCTAATTCACCCCCTTATGAGTGAATTTTAACCCTAAAAGCTGAGCTTGTGCGGGGAAAGGGGCGGCTATTATTATTATTTGCCGTGGCGCTCCGGGGCGACTTAGAGATGATTGATGGTGCCATTTGACTTACAGGTGAGGAAAACCCGGAAAACCTCACCCACCATCATCGAGGCGGTAATGTAAATAAATTGAAATATTGCAAACTATATTAAAAACAAAATTATCTCATGTATTAAATATTCCGATTTTGCACCATCGAGCAATACTAAATTTCATATATATCCTATATGTACCCCTTATTCCGTATCTGTCCAATTTTCAATACTAGGTAGACTAGGAAGACAATATCGCCTATCCCTCGGTACGAACATGGAACGTCTGGAGAAAGGATTTTGTCATATTTTTCAATCATTTTTATACCCGAATTTACTTTGCTGATTTAATAATTATGACTTTATATTACGTCCAATTTTAAAAATTATTTTTTCTACACCCGTATTATAATAATGCACTTATATGCCCATAATCCGTTTCATAATGATACCCATTATGATACAGATTTTTAATCAATAGAAACCTACAATTTTTCAATCAAGCATGATGTTTGACGTTTGTCCTAAATTCCTATGTAATTGTTTTAGTTGTCAAAACGTATTAAATTTTCGTAGATAGCTAAACTTCGATAATTATAATATTAAAATGTCTGATATCGGAGAAAGGAGAAAATGCAGTACAAAATATTTTGCCCCAAAAATCTGTGGTAATACCAATACCCAAGGTAATACCATTAATTACAATTTTGTAGAATTTTTTATAGAAATACGAGTAATTACTGTTATTGTGTTCAATGCCAATATAAATAGAATATTTATAGGTCTTGATTATTTATCGGGTGTAGAAAAAATAGCGTATGCAACTCTCATGTAATGGTTATTAAAACACTCGCATAAACCATACGAAACTCGCCTTTGGCTCGTTTCGTATCCCGGTTAATGCTCGTGTATTAATAACCATCATTACATGATCGTTGCATAATATACTATTTTGATCTTGTTAAGGAAATGATTTACTACAACTTAATAGTACCTAATCTTTTAAAGAATAATGCATGTTTGGTAATTAAAAGTTGCCCTTTTTTTAAAAAAATTAATAAACTTTATAATTTTGTTTTTTTTTTTGACGAAACAGGCCATTTTTTCAAAAAATTATGCTAACCCGGGGCTAGTGCCACTTATTCTCTTTGCACATAAAAAAATTATGGTAATATCTTCGTCTTAGATTTATTCTGCCATCTATTTTAAACCAGCAAAAGCTCCAGCCGTCTCTAGCTTAAAGAGACTCAATCCTGGATTAGATGAAGTGAATAGATGGGAAAGTCAATGGTAAAATTATGAGTCGATGTGCTGCCATCTATCAAATTGGAGTGGTACTAAAATTCAATATGGCCGCCACGAGCGGGCTTTTTGAAATTTATTTTTGTAGTAGCTGGGCAAAAATGTAATGAAGAAAATCAAATAAAGCAAATAAATTGGAAAAATATTTGACTAGTTTCAAATCATAAAACAAGCATATTGACTGTTTTGTGATTTAAAACTAGTCAAATATTTTGCCAATTTATATCTTTATTTGATTTTACTTCATTATATTTTTGCATTAATTTCAAACTTGAAATAAAATGTAATTAATTTTATTTTTTTTTATTGCAGTAAATTAACGCCGCATTATATAATTTGTCTATTTAAACATGGAAATACTCAAACAAATATGCATTTACACCATTTAGATAAATAAATATAATATAAATGCTCAAGACCTTTATAAAAGTTTTGTGAATTGGAGTGGCAAATAAGTTTGAAAAAATTGAAGTTGAAGCATCATCCTTTCTTACTATGGAGGCAAATTTGAGTGTGGATAAAATTTGCCATACGGTTATTGAGTCGACTAGTTAGGTTGAGGAGCATTTCTTCATCCGAAAATTGTTTTTTTGAATTATTTATACAGCACTTGTAGCTATCAAATTTTTATTCATCATGTGGACATTGTGATAAATGAATTTAACTTTTGAGCTTAAATTAAACTTACACACGTTTGGACCCTTGAAGATTTTAGGGTGTTTTCTTGTTTGATGTCAATGGCATTGAATCAATTTTTGATACTGATGGTTGAGATATTTCATCGATCGACAGAGTATTTTGGAGGGCCAACATTTTCTTACAACAATGATCATTTAAAAACTGAAAACAAAAAAAAAATTAAATTTCAAACCAATGATTTTAACACTGAATCAAAAACAAGTTTGTATATTACTTACCGTTGGTGTCAAACAGTGATGATGCATTTTTCTTAAGACACTTATTACAAATTATTTGGTTATCCTTAATATGATGACTGCATATTTAATGTGGTATAAATTACATCACTACCAATATCTGGGAGTGCTTTATTGTTTGTTGCTGAAATCCATCTTCCCATCGTTTGAAAACATGCTTAAAATTGGAAATAAATCTAGATTCTAGATGAATCAAAATTCAATTCAACTTCAAATACAATAGCCATTTTAATTTCTCCAAGTTTGGAGTTTTGTTTTGACAACTGACATGACATTTCGATACGAGCGCCATCCCGTTAATTGGAGTGTTACTAAATTACCAACTTCATGTTTTTCCATTTAAGTTACTAGCCCCTGGACTCAATTAGACTGGCCACCTGGTGGTGGTCTCCTTTTCGTATTAAACAAATAAATGCATTGGACTGACCTACTAGGACTACTTATACAATGATAATACCATATCTAAAATGGCTTCCTGCGAGATCATAGTAGAGGGTTATTAGTTGCTTTTCTGATTTTTTTTTAAATATTTGAAATTGTACAGAAAACTTTTTTACTTTCCTATATAAGGAAAGTATAGGAATCATGATTTTTTTCGACCTCGAGTTTTCGACGGATTTTTATGCTTTGAGGTCCCCTGAATCCGTTTTCACGATTTTCACGTCTGTGTGTGTGTGTGTGTGTGTGTGTGTGTGTGTGTGTGTGTGTGTGTGTGTGTGTGTGTGTGTGTGTGTGTGTGTGTGTGTGTGTGTGTGTGTGTGTGTGTGTGTGTGTGTGTGTGTGTGTGTGTGTGTGTGTGTGTGTGTGTGTGTGTGTGTGTGTGTGTGTGTGTGTGTGTGTGTGTGTGTGTGTGTGTGTGTGTGTGTGTGTGTGTGTGTGTGTGTGTGTGTGTGTGTGTGTGTGTGTGTGTGTGTGTGTGTGTGTGTGTGTGTGTGTGTGTGTGTGTGTGTGTGTGTGTGTGTGTGTGTGTGTGTGTGTGTGTGTGTGTGTGTGTGTGTGTGTGTGTGTGTGTGTGTGTGTGTGTGTGTGTGTGTGTGTGTGTGTGTGTGTGTGTGTGTGTGTGTGTGTGTGTGTGTGTGTGTGTGTGTGTGTGTGTGTGTGTGTGTGTGTGTGTGTGTGTGTGTGTGTGTGTGTGTGTGTGTGTGTGTGTGTGTGTGTGTGTGTGTGTGTGTGTGTGTGTGTGTGTGTGTGTGTGTGTGTGTGTGTGTGTGTGTGTGTGTGTGTGTGTGTGTGTGTGTGTGTGTGTGTGTGTGTGTGTGTGTGTGTGTGTGTGTGTGTGTGTGTGTGTGTGTGTGTGTGTGTGTGTGTGTGTGTGTGTGTGTGTGTGTGTGTGTGTGTGTGTGTGTGTGTGTGTGTGTGTGTGTGTGTGTGTGTGTGTGTGTGTGTGTGTGTGTGTGTGTGTGTGTGTGTGTGTGTGTGTGTGTGTGTGTGTGTGTGTGTGTGTGTGTGTGTGTGTGTGTGTGTGTGTGTGTGTGTGTGTGTGTGTGTCTCGCATAACTCATAAACCGATACACAGAAAAACACCAAATTTCAAACTTAAGCTTTGTTTCAGCGTCCAATGTGCTGATTAGATTTTGGGCAGTGTCGGAACATCTTGGGGGGTACTTTATAGGAGGTCATTTTTATATTTTCTGGAATATATCTGTTATTTACGTTTGG